CTCTTGCCGACAAATAAGCAATAATACAACAGCAATACTGTGTTTAATGAAGTAGTCTTTGAAAAATGGTGTTTAAAATGTGGAGACTGTTCTGTAAAAGACAAGGCCACATGTCTATTGTGCCAGTGGGTTATTACAACCATGACCTTTAGTGACTGTAGTAATTAGGACATGACTCAAGGAGGAAGTGAGGTGACGAGGTATAGAGCAATAAGGTCTGTGTTAAGAGAAGGTTAGGGTGAATGGCTGATTTAAGGTTTAAAAAATATTTTAATTTTATGTTTAAAAAAAAAATCCACATCTCTACATGTTTATTATAATCAGGATGACCAAGGGTATTTTAACCAAAGCCACAATCCTTCTATAAACATAACCAAGTAATAAAGAAGATTTAAAATATTGATTTCCTTGACTGTCCTTGTTTCAGAGTAGTAGAGCTGAAACAATTTGCCAATTAAATGATTATTTGATTGACAAAAAAAAAAAAATCTGCAGCTATTTTGATTTCTTCATGATCATTTTTCCAAGTACCAAACAGTCTAGTTCCAGGTTCTCCAATAAGAATATTTCTGCTTTTTCTGGTAATTTATAATTTAAAATCAAATTTGTTGTGATGTTTGGTTTGCTGTTTCTGACAAAACAAGATACAATAGGGTCTAGGAAATTGCCAGGATGGATTTTTTGGGCATTTCATAAATGATCATTGAGAAATCTTTTAAAAAAAAAATAAAATAAAAAAATCATCAGTTGAATCAATCTGAAAATAGTAACTTTAGCCTTACACAGAGCAAAAAGCTCCACTGAGCCCATTAAACTGGTGTCTTACAGTAGCTAACTGGACAATTAATGAGCTGTGAAATTTGTTTAGCTCTGATGTGAACACGCATGCACGCTGCTGTAATACAACATAAACTGACATTAGTCCCTATACATCCTTGAGATCTCTGCTGATGGGGCGACTGATTTGATGCCCTGGACTAATAAGAGGCGGAGGGAGGGCGAGGGCGCAGTTACTGTAAGAGCAGGGATCATAAAACACCCAGAAAGGAAACAATGTTTATGTGAAGGAGCATTACGCTCTGAAAAGCAGGAACAGAGAGCGTATGGAATAATTCTCCTGTAATTCTTGGCAAGGACACTGTTCTAGATATAATGAATAAAGCTAATTTTGACAACAAGGTGCACTACTGCAAAGGTCTCTCGTTTCCTCCTAAAGATCATTAGGTAACTGCAGAACATTCAGGACACCGCTGCCAGATTACTAATAAAAACCAGGAGACCCAAACATACTGTGTCAGTGCTACTCACTTTACAAATCACTATGTATTAGAGCAAATTAACAATATATTCCAACTGTAGCAGGTCCCTTAGATTTGTAGGAACCAAAAATGACAAAGATGCATTTAGTGACTCTATTAAAAAAAAAAAAAAAAAAAATCATCAGTTGAATCAATCTGAAAATAGTAACTTTAGCCTTACACAGAGCAAAAAGCTCCACTGAGCCCATTAAACTGGTGTCTTACAGTAGCTAACTGGACAATTAATGAGCTGTGAAATTTGTTTAGCTCTGATGTGAACACGCATGCACGCTGCTGTAATACAACATAAACTGACATTAGTCCCTATACATCCTTGAGATCTCTGCTGATGGGGCGACTGATTTGATGCCCTGGACTAATAAGAGGCGGAGGGAGGGCGAGGGCGCAGTTACTGTAAGAGCAGGGATCATAAAACACCCAGAAAGGAAACAATGTTTATGTGAAGGAGCATTACGCTCTGAAAAGCAGGAACAGAGAGCGTATGGAATAATTCTCCTGTAATTCTTGGCAAGGACACTGTTCTAGATATAATGAATAAAGCTAATTTTGACAACAAGGTGCACTACTGCAAAGGTCTCTCGTTTCCTCCTAAAGATCATTAGGTAACTGCAGAACATTCAGGACACCGCTGCCAGATTACTAATAAAAACCAGGAGACCCAAACATACTGTGTCAGTGCTACTCACTTTACAAATCACTATGTATTAGAGCAAATTAACAATATATTCCAACTGTAGCAGGTCCCTTAGATTTGTAGGAACCAAAAATGACAAAGATGCATTTAGTGACTCTACTGCACACAGGTCCTGTGTTACAAGTCAGAGGAGAGAAACTCGCCAGCAGATTAGCTGTGACTGCTTTCCATCTTAACCTGTGTGACCTCCAGACTGCTCCCTCATGCCACATACCAACCAGATCTCTAATCTTGGTTTTCACACTGGGACAAAGAAAGCCCGCTGCTTCGCTCTCCCTCTCCCTCTCTCACAGCTCATTCACTCCCTCACTTGAGAGATCAATGATGAAGGAGATGGAGAGTGCGGAAGAGGGAGAGGGAGTGGAGCGAGAAATAGAGAGGAAAGGTGATAGGAGGAGAGAGAGAGAGCGAGGGGGGGGGGTCGCTGTGTGAGTGATAAAACACAGCAGGCTGCCTTAATGAAAAGCCTCTTATGGCGATGGAGAGATTGCCTGTGGAATGGGCAGCTGATTGTAGAAGTAGTAGCTTGGTGTAGCCTGCTGACTAATTAAAGTATTGAAGGTGCGGGGGTGACAGGGGGAGATTAGACCTGCTCCCAGGGTTAGCTTGGCTGAGGAGAGCCAGACAAATGCAACTATCTAGGACAACTAGGAGGACTGGGATAAAGGGGAATATACCACTAGTAAACAGCTCTAAAGTAAAACCATGAGCACATGATTCTGATTTCCCATGTGGACATAGCTGTGGTTGTCTAATGCTGCATTCTTCTGCCTTATTTGTACAATCAGGATGCAACAGTATCTTTAAAGCCTCTTTAAAGGTTACACTGTCCTACTTACATCTGCTTTCAGACACAGTCTCCCCATAATCCACAGATTTCACTGTCCATTGTTTTGATGTGGAGTATTTCCTCAAAATTGTTCCAGTGAAAAGTGTGAAAACACCGTGAAGTCTGTAGATTATCCTGATCAACTAAAATTTGGAAGGACAGGTTGAAGATTTTTAAAAGACATTTAAACTGTATTGGACTGGAAGCAGAACTCACCAAATCACCGAGCTTAACCAGCTCCATGACAAATGAGCAAACTCTATCCTCCGATGAGATGTGGCAGAAATCTAAAGAAAAGCCAAATAACTGGAACTTGTGATGAGAATTTTTTTATACTTCACATAGCGAGGTGCATAGCGAGGTCACTATGGTAGCGGGGGTCAGTTGTACCCATAATCCTTATCTCCACAGTGAGTTTGATGCTGTATGTTTTTTCCTCTAAGCATCTACTGTACGGACAAGGTAGACAGGGTATAAGATTGGTTTAGGGTCAGAACACAACAAGAAGAGAAAAACAGAAAATTGAATAAGGAGAAAAGCAAATATATATTGCAGAAAAAAATAAGTGCCAAAGATTAGAAGCCAACCTGTCACTGCTGCAGCCTCTCACACTGTCTAAACTGTGTTTTACCTCACATAGTCTGGAGTGTGGAGTCGCAGAGCTTCAAAAGTCAGTGTGAAATATGTTAACATGTGAATCGCTTTTTCAGTGGTCTGTCACACTAATTTGGCACCACTTCTTTCATTATTTGCATTTATCATCATCAGTGTCTCATTTCATTTCAGCTTTGCTACATCACATCTTGCTGTGCCGCTAAAACCACCATTTCCCACAGGATTAATAACAAAGCTTCCTGCCTGTCGATCAACTGCTGAAGAAAAAAAAAAAACCCGTGAGAAATAAATTCCATCCTGCTGCCATCTCAACGCCCCACAGCTGAAAATACCTGGGGATGGTGTGGAAGGAAGTCATTAGTGAGTGGCATTTAAGATGAAATCTAGCAACACGAACAGGGGATTTATCATATCAACAGAGAATGACTGACAAGTTCTAAAACGACGTTACTCTGGCTCTCTGGTGAGGGCCTTCATGATGTAATTTAATGGAAATTACAAATCTATATTTGGTAACACTTAATGACCATCCCTTGGAAACAGGCATAATGACTCTCCTCAGGTGAACAAGTTGTCCAGGGTACACACTATAAAACAATATTACAGCAGCAAATGGAAATCACTGGGAAAGTGATTTATCTGTGCGCACTGTGTCATACTGAGCAGAGAGTCACATTAAGTTAATTTTTGTAATTTGTTTTAGAAATAATCATTTTTCATAACCCGCCCTTTTTGTGCAGACAGCTTAAACTTTATTATTTAGATTGTAGCCTGTGCTGAATCAAATATACACATGCATCATAAAACACAGTGCCCTACGACAATGACCCTAGAAAACCCATTAGTTTAGCTATTGCACACACTGCAGCACACTTAAAGCTAGTCGATAGTTTAAAAAAAACAAACTGTTTTCTCTTGAAGCAGCCAGATTTTACATCTGTAGGCATCAGGAACTTGTTGTATTTGCTGCTATAAAACAAACAGATCAGTACAGTTTACAGCAAAATGAGCCTCCTGTGGCAAGAATGTGATTTAGAAAGCGAAGGGAAAAATTGGGAGAAATCATGCGGCACATCACAGATGAAAACAAACAAACAAACAAACAAACAAAAAAAACTAACAAAAATCACTTAACAGCTGCTGTGTGTCTGTGCTGCAAACATCTTTATAATTAGATTTTCAACCAGGGTTTTAGATTATTATAATTTATCTTTATAGTTTGAAATAAACACATGGAATTCAATAATCTGTTTAATAAAACCAAAAAATAATAAGCTGCATGTTGTGCCTTGCTTGACATAATTACATTGCGCTTGTTATTTGCTTGTGCTGCTTTTTATAAACACATTTTTCAAAAGATCTTTTGAAATAACAGACATACCTTGAATGATTATCCTCCGACTTATTCCTATGAATTGCTGATTTTGTAATTGAAAAGATGTTTACATTTATGTACTGTAAGTCAGACTGTGTTACTGTATCTTTGATATACCGTCCCGTACATACTTTAAGTGTGTATTCCAAAATGTGTTGTGTTAAATACCTTGACAGGTTTCTTGCGTGACGGCTCAGCCTCGTTGTTCTCGGCCTCCTCGTGCTCCTTGCTACCTTGGGGCAGGTTGGAGTAGTTGGCCAGGCTGCTGAGAAGAGACGACACCATGGGGCTGGTGTCCATCTCCTCCTGCAGAGATCCCCACACAGACAGGGAGGCTGCAGTCAGTGTCTCAATTATAGAAAAACAAATGTGCTTAAGCCAACAGCACACAGAAATGATAATCTTTTATGTCTTTACTGATCATACCCATTCAACACTCACAATGCTGGGACGAAAACTGAAATTAAACCCCTGTATTTCATAACAGGTCCAACCTCCTCAAGAGGAATTCTGGACCAGTTCAATCACATTGTTATGATGTCTGGTATAAAGTGCTCTGTTGAGGTCATTCCACACAATCTCTATTGAGTTAAGGTCTGAGCTCTGAATGGGCCATTCCAAAAGGTGGATTTTGTTCATCTGAAGTCGATAGATTTACTTCTGTGTTTAAAGGTCATCGTCCTGCTACATCATCCAACTTCTACTGAGCTTCAGCTGGTGGACATCCAGCCTGACTTTAATGATGATGGCTTTTGGAGTCATCATAGCCGGGTGGCCACTCCTGGAGAGAGTAGCCACAGTACTAAATCATCTTAGACAGTTTGTCTAACTGTGGACTGATGGAAATTTAACTCTGAGATTATGATGCAGCCCCTTTCCAGCTTTATTTAAATCAATTTCTCAACTGCAAGTCTTCTGAGCTCTCTTCTTCCCAAGGTATGACTCACATCACCAGATGGTGCTTAAATAGCAAACTCAAAATGTTTGTTTTGATAAGTCAAAGTAGCTGAACACACACCTCCAGCCTCATTTCACTGACTGGAAATGAGGTTTACCAAGTCCTAACTCCAGTTACTGTAGCTTTATTCTAGGGATTCATAAAAGTTTTCCAGCCTATACTAGGAAAGTCTGAACAAGAACAACACAATAAATTATGTTATTGCTTAAAGACAATTTTATACATAAATGCTTTTAATTCCAAAGGGTTCACTTACTTTTTTCTGGCCAGTGCAATTCAGGTACTGTGCTAACCCTTTTGCAAATTCCAACTGCTTTGGAACAGAAAATCACAAAGTGCTGTGTCTAATTTTGTTTTCTTTTTCCTTGTTTAATTTAGAAATCCCACTGAGAATGCAATGTAAACACCATCATGCAGAGCTGTGGCAAATTGCCTCACTTGAAGTTCTGTCCTGTAAAAGAGAGTTTTGCTTGCACTAATCTGAGGTTCCCACATGCCCTTCACATAGTCATTATCCTCATTAATTGATGCCAGAACCATCATTCAATCACTGAATTGTGAGAATCAGTGTATTATATGTCTTAACGCCTGACTGTGCGAGTTAACAATTCAGTTGTGTGTGTGTGTGTGTGTGTGTGTGTGTGTGTGGGTGCATGTGTGGAATATTGGACTGTACCTCAAACAAGGCCATGTTCTTGCCGTCATACTGCTGGCTCTTCTCTGCAGCAGCATCACTGCTGTTAATGAAAGGGCTACTCTCCTTGGGGTTACTGTCGCCTGGAAGAAACAGACATACACACACCTCCACGTTTAGACTGGGCTGAAATAAAGGCACCAGCAGATAGCGCAATGCATGAGGGAGACAAGACTTTCTTCAGAATAACCTTTTTGTGAGCTAAAAGTGACTTTCAAGAACTGACTGACGTTTGAAGTGAATGCTATTTATTAATTTATGGATTTTTTTTAAGCAAAGAAAGACAGAGACAGGAGGCTCTAACAACAGCACATCTTCCAGAACAACGGGTGGTGTCCATGAAACATCCACAATCAGAAATACAGAGAAACAGAACCACAACCATATTACTTTCACAATATGTGCAGTGCTACATATTCCATATGATAATGAGACAGAAGCAAACTGGAACATTTCAGTAGTTTTTTTCTTACACTGACAAATGATGCCATCACAAGGTTGAAGATTAACAGAAAGAAATAATAAGAGCTGTTCAAAGACGTGGCAGCTTTTTACCCTAGGAACACAGAGCGGCAGAGACAGTAAGATGTTATTTAGGTGACAGCTTGCTGCGGGCATCATGACTCTGACCAGAAGCATCTGTCTGCAAATTCACAGTCCAAGGAACAGGGCAAATCTCCAAAACAAACAATTTCAGTGGGACAGCATCCAAATCTCAGAAGAGTCACTGATTGGGAATTCCACTGGAGAACATCACTGACTTCCTTTAAAATGCACTGAAAACATACAGATGTTGATGTTTGATCCATTTTACACAATGTAACTGTTGCACGCGAGCCACATGCACCAAGTACACGTTTGAATTTGAAAGAAAAAACAGAATTGAGTGGAGCTTGTTTAATGTTAATATGCTGATAAAGAAGACTCAAAGCTTTCAGCAGCTCTGTCTGTATTGACAGTAAAAACTTTCCAGCAGATAAACTTGTATAATGTAAAGCAAACATAAGGCAGCACTGTGCATCTTTATCTGTACTTAATACAAGTTGGAAGCTTTGAACCCTTAAACGTTTGGACATTTTAACAGGCGTTTCTGTTTTGCTTCAAACTTGCTCAGTGATTAAAGGTGAAGGTCCATAGTGCAATACACATTAACAGAAGAAATACTGAAATTACAAAGGCTTAATTGTGCTTCTGCATTCGATACCTGTGGTGGCTCTGTGGGTATAGCACTCACATTCCTGAGGAATGCAAACCAGCAAGTACCGACCAGAGAGCCACAGCTGCACCATAGTGAGAAGCTACAAAAACAGTAAGTGTTCAGCTTGGGCTGCTTGGTGTGTTCACCCACATGCCTCTGGTGCAGATACGTTTGCTTATGGGGAAGGCAAAACGGTGCAGATTGAAGAAAGGCTTGGTAATCATGCTCCTTATACTGATGTGAATGACTTTGCACTTTGTAATCCAACAAAAACCTCATTTACATTGCAAATGCTGTTTTTTTTTTTTATTATTACTTCTGTTGTGAAAGAAAATGGACCAACCGCAGGACCTCATGATAGTAACTGAGCTGGACTGATAAATCTTCCAGGCTGATATATCTGATTATATGAGCATACTGCAGGTATATACATATTGGCAAATATATGTAAATATTACATAATCAGCAAGAATTTGTAGTGTAGAAATGCCAAATTATGTTTGAGGCAACTTAGAGCCAGTGTCACCATTACATAGTTTGCCCACCTGAGAGCACCGACAAGGTGATTATTCAACTGTTAACTCCTTTAAAAACAATTCTAATGTATCTGTTTACTGCTGTTTGTTATGTGAAAAAAAATATTATTCACCGATAATCCATCATCAGAAAAACATTTACATTTATGCAAGGTCATTTGGCAAACAGGATAACATACTGTATATAAAACTAGAAATCAGTCCGTAGACTGTAAACAATGCTTTGACAGGGTCAAGGTGAACAGGTGACCGTTATCGATCACGCCTTTGAAAGTGACCAACACTTTGAGGCAAACTATTAGGTAATCCCTCACATTCTTAAACATGACTAGAATAAACTAGAGGACTAACAATAACTACACAACAGAACAATGGAACAGCGACTTGATCTGACACAACTAATTACAGAGGCTGCGACCATCCAGAGAAAACCTGCTTCTTATTTTACACCTTGATTTCTATTGTACTTCCTGGCCAGACATTTTCTCATTCATTACTTTTATTTACCAAGTACAACGTAGGCCTTGGTGGTGACAGCTGTGCAGAATAAGCAGTCTTATTTGTGCCTTCCCCTTCCAGTGTCTCTTGGACTGAGCACTGCGAGACCAAGTTATTTATATCCAGGACACCATGTAGCTGGGGCACCACTAACAGCCGGCACGCTGTTCTACAAAGACGGAGCAATAGGGCCACTCAGACGGGGACACAGAGAAAAGGGGCAGTGTGGAAAAAAGAAGCACAGAAAGAAAGAAAAGAGGCAGAGGAGAGGTTACCATGAGGCGATGGAAAGCAAACGAATGAGGGTGCAGATGAGAAGATGGGGAAAGACACATGGTAAATGGGGTGAGAGCGAATTGTGACATGGAGAGAGAGATATGGGCTCAGACAAAGACCTGAAATGGGAGCCCACAGTGGGAGAGAGGGCGGAGAGATGCACTTATGTCTCTGACCACACAGAGTTCAACTCTCTTTGAGCGGCAGGTTAAAACATACACGGCAATTGAAAGAGAGGCGAGAGCATTCTACAAAGGCTTTTCAGAACACCTGGATTATTTGGTTGTTTGTTTTAAGCTATTTTTTACCTCTGTAGACCATGTCAGGATGAAATGCCTCACTGAAACAACACATGCATCAGTGAGGGTATATCAGGCTTTTTGTACACCGAGATAAACATGTACAAGAAGGAACAGAGGGACACACACCTTATGTAATAATGTATGCCATTTAAACACACACTATTACTGAGACCACTCACTAGCTGCTACACATCCACTGTACTTCATCTCTACCATTTTATGTGAATGTTCAGATATAAAGAGCAAAGGTTTAGTAGAGTGGAAACTGAAAACCGACAAACCATTTATGTCATTTGGGAAAACGCCAAATATTCAGTTGGTCTGTCTTCTTCGATGTGAAGATTTGCTGCTTTCTAATCTAACACCTTTGTGCTTTAGACAACAGTCTGGACAAAACAAGCAGCTTTCCTAAACAATGAATCAGTTAAATGAAAGATGTAGCTTAAACCTTGATAAACACTTAAATACTCTGCAGTACTGGAGTGACTGGAGTTATATTACAGGCAGTAGTTTCAGAACCTTGATGTCATTTTTCAAAACTCTAGACACAAAACAAAAAATTTTCTTCAGCTCACCGACACACAAAATACCAATAGCTTCCATTTTTAGTTGTTCAAACATCCATTAGATACTGTAGAACAGAATATGTGCTACATGTTTCATCATGGCGCTTATGTGACGTCACTGTAAAAGGGCCGGATAGAGAAAACACTACAGATGCGGTGGAATCACTGAACAGATCAGAAATGTTTTGATGAAATACAATATGTACTGTATGCGTGCACATAAGGCACACAGACACATAAAGGGCTAATGACCCAAAGACAACTTTTCTATCCTATCACTCGTCTCTCCATGGCTCATTTCTCCTCATCGTCTAATAATTAAAACTTCATTATCAAAGAAATGATGGATAGCCCCTTTTTGGGAAAATGACAGTGCCCCAAAGAGTTTTGCCTCCCCGGCAGCTTATCCTCCTTCAATCTGATAGGACTGATCCAACAATGGCTCCCATTATCAAAGCCTCTCACTATCTCTGATCAAAATCCAGAGCTTTACTGCTCACCGAGCATGTGATCGTCTTCCAAATCCTCCACAAAAACAAAAACACTGAATCTACATCTCCTCTCTTATTTTCTTATAGTTGACATTTTACAGCAGCAGCGGTCTATTGTGAACATGTACCTGAAGTACGCTGAGCACAGCAAAGCCCTTATTTTCAATGCTGAGTGTGGTTGCCGCTCTTGAACGGTAAAAGACCATCAAATGGGACTTTGACCTACAAATACAGAATATTTAGTACTGTCACGCTCATCCAATGACACCGACATTAGGACTGAAATGATTTGATCTCCAAAAAACAAACCGCAAACAATGTTCATAAAGACTTGAGTTGTTCATCAAGCAGCAATGCCAAATGTTTTCTTGCCCCAGCTTCTTAAATGTAAGCATTTGGTGGTTTATGTAGTTGGTAACTGTTGTAGCTGTAGGCTTTGGACTGTTGCTTGGTTATTTGAAAATGTCACACCGGGCTCTAGAAAAGTAAAGGGGCACATTTTTCACTGTTTGACATTTTACAGATGAAAACTTTAATTTATTACTACAATTAATGATTACTTTCATAACTGATTAATCTGTGAATTATTTTCTTGATTAATGGTTTAGTCTATAAAATGTCAGAACATAGTAGTTAAAAATGCCTCTCACAGGTTCCTTAAGCAATATGGAGAAAAGTGCATCTCCTGTTAATGTTTTGCGACTTTCTTCTCTATCCTCTGTCTTCAGAGCGACTTTTAAGAGAGGACTGGGGAGGTGTAATGGCATTTAATAAAATAATGCTACAATAACAGTCTGCAGCAGAGCACTTAGCTGTTTATATGGGATTTCAGTGCTTTAAATTACAGTATGCTCTACATCCATATCCTCTACCAAGCACAATATTTGTGTTTGTGTGAGAACAGCATTAGACAAAGAATACAAACAAACCCTGCAAAAATCATATTTTATAAATGGGTAAAATACAGTATCATATGTTGTGTTTAAGTTAAGTCAGGATGTACTATGGCGACTATGTGAGCGCTGTTCCACTAGTTTTTTCTCTCATGTCTGTATTTTACTGTCCAAATAAGTTCTCAGATTCCTCGTTTGCTATTGTCTGTGAAAACAGCAGGCAGGACACGTCCAGTGTTTGAGTGTAAATATAAAATTTAACACAAATAAGCAGAGGCCTGGTCCACTGGTTTCACTTGGACAGTTCAGTTTTCCAACAGCTC